TCTCAAACTGTAACTAATTGATTTTCAACCAAGCTAAGCCTCTAGCTATGAAGAAACTAGTACCAAAGGCAGACCCTAGGAATGGTGGGGGTAGAAAGGCAAGGGGTGCCAAGATTGCTTGGGGCTAAAGAGACTACAGAACTAAAGAGGAAAGGCTGAAGAATGCTAGAAGGCTGCTTTAGGGCTGAGAAGAGAGGGAAGTGAAATTATAGAAAAAGAGAAAGAATAAATGGAAAAGAGCTAGAAGGGATGGTTGAAGTAGTCCCAGTCCTTCTAGTATGCATGTTCAAACCTTCTCATTTCCAGCTGTCCTTAGACAATCAAGTAGCTTTAAAAGAGAGTAAGGTCTCTCTGGTCTTAAGTTTATTAATGTGAAGGGTCATTAAAGAGAGAAAAGGTCTCTGCCCTCAACAACTTCTTTATCCTCAAAAGCTGAACTTTTTAAAGAATGATTGTTGCTTTACCCGCTCTTAGCATCTATATTCCAGGCGTAACGTGTGAGCATGTATTATAATAGTTTTAGATATTGATTTTCAACCAAGCTAAGCCTCTAGCTATGAAGAAACTAGTACCAAAGGCAGACCCTAGGAATGGTGGGGGTAGAAAGGCAAGGGGTGCCAAGATTGCTTGGGGCTAAAGAGACTACAGAACTAAAGAGGAAAGGCTGAAGAATGCTAGAAGGCTGCTTTAGGGCTGAGAAGAGAGGGAAGTGAAATTATAGAAAAAGAGAAAGAATAAATGGAAAAGAGCTAGAAGGGATGGTTGAAGTAGTCCCAGTCCTTCTAGTATGCATGTTCAAACCTTCTCATTTCCAGCTGTCCTTAGACAATCAAGTAGCTTTAAAAGAGAGTAAGGTCTCTCTGGTTTAAGTTTATTAATGTGAAGGGTCATTAAAGAGAGAAAAGGTCTCTGCCCTCAACAACTTCTTTATCCTCAAAAGCTGAACTTTTTAAAGAATGATTGTTGCTTTACCCGCTCTTAGCATCTATATTCCAGGCGTAACGTGTGAGCATGTATTATAATAGTTTTAGATCATTTTTGCTCCCAACCTCTTTTTTTTTTTTTAAATAAAAAAACCTTGCATGTGTTTATGGGTGTGTTTATGTTACACAAGTGTTAATAACCCTGTTGGAGAGACTACATAGATAGGCATCTTTAGGTAGATCTGTATATAAATTCCTCTCCACTGGGCACTTAAGTTAGCCAAAAGCAACAATAATATCAATGATGTCTTTCAAACCTGTCAACTGAGGACATTGCACTTTTTTCTAGTACCAGGAGAGTCTAATAAGTTGGAAAAATAGGGGAAAGAGAGCTTAATTTAAAGATTTTGTAAGTTTTTTCTTTCATATCTAAGACACTAAATAGGCTATGAAATATAAAATAATTTAGGCATCACATTTCTGTACTTTGATACCTGAGAATGAATATATATTCTTGAAATAATTCTAAGAAGTGTTTAATCCCATTCAATCAGTAAGTCAGAAATTATTAATAAACATGAAGTACAACTTTTTCAGAGAAAGCATATAGACAAAGAATAATACAGATTTTTTTTTACTATTTTCTGTAATTTTTTTCTAAAACACCTACAATGTCATCTCATTTTAGTTATGCAATCAGGAAGAAATAAAACAAGAATTAGTTTTTAAATGAAACATCTTAGAAATACACTACATATTTATATTATGTAAATAGGAGATACACTTAAATATTATAAGCAAATTATCTAATAATTAATTAGCATAGAGTTAGCATAGAGTTTTATAAATAAACTAACAAATTTTTGAAAAAGAGATGGTTGAAAAAAACTTACCAGAAATATATATTTTTTGTTACTAACAAAATAATGTATGATTGACTAGTCAAAAATTACACTGATATTCAATAGTCTTAGGGCAAAAAAAAAAAAACAAGAATTAATGATGAAAAACTCAATAATATGAGAGTGACAAAAGTTTGCCAAAGAATAATGACTACAATAGAGTGGAAAGCTTTTCTTTACACACTTAGCAATCTATATTTCTTTCTTCAAAGTGGACAAATCACTAAAATAATTTAAGGGTTAATAAGATAGTTTCAGTTCTATATTTACATGTCTACATGCCTTAAGGCAATTTATTTACATTTTATTTTTTATTTTTGTCCATTCTATTTTCACTTATGAACACAAAACTAGTATCTCCTGAAATTTAAAAACTAGATATTTTATTAAATAAGATTCTGAGTTTGAATAAATTTGTTTTTGGTGAGCAAAATTTATTTAAAAAAAATATATCTTTCTATATGTTAAAATAATTGTAGAAAATCCATTATTTGGCTTGAAAATGATGACATGTAAGCAATTTTTAAAAGGATGGTACTAGATCCCTTTAATGTAATCCATCTTATTATGGGTAATGTCAACAGATTCTTTTCACATATTTAAATATCCAGGTGACTTCCTCAGTACAAATCTCTTGCCTATTGCTGAACTGATCTGCGCTTAGTCCCACTAGATATGTATCTTTTAAGACACTAAAAAATTAAAACTAAATCCTCTGGAGTCTTATAAGTTGCAGGTAAAATTTGTTAATGAATATTACACTGAAAAGCACTTAAACTCTTAGTGCAGTTAATAATGATATTACAATTCTACCTTTTCTCAACATATTTTGACCTATTTTATTAAGGAAGAAATATAGAAGTTAAAACCTTTTACTAAGTAGTGATTGGTTTGGATATATTAGAAGGGATAGTCTAAGACAATAAAACTGTGGTTCAATTTTCCTGAGAGACTCCTAAGAGAAACTTACCTAGTATCAGAATCAGTTTGTCAGTAATTTCATGTGAGACATTTAGTTCTGAATCATTTTAAAAAAAAAAGAAATGATATGGTCTGTTACTGAGGATAACTTTTTAGCAGCTCAAGCATGAAAAAATAAATAAAACTTTTTAAAGCTAATGTCTAATGTCATTTTTCTAGAGTAAAATGAAAATTACACTCTTGATATAGGTAATAAAAAATAAATATCTGTGTTATCATAATCCAAACATTGTACCCAAAACGTCATTATTTTAAAACATAAGTATTTGTCAGTGTGAAAAAAAGATTCTTAAAGTTGCTAAGTAAAACCGTTCATTATTGTTTTTGACTATCTAATATCATGTAAATTTACAAAAAGTAATTGCATACAAATTAAAAAATCATACTTAATTCTTCTCTAAAAAATACTTTTCTTGTGATGATCAAACTATTTCATTATAATAAAATATATTATTAGGACAAATTGATGACTGAACTATTGCCTTATTGTTTTTAAAGGATAAAATCTAATTCATTCTTCTCTGTCAAATTTTAGATGACCTGAACTGATTTTTCAGTGATATATTTTATGAATATGTATTAAAAATTATGCTGGATTGGAATTTATCTATTAAAATACTGAACGTAATTTAAATTCTTGAATACTTTTTAAATGCTTCAAAATGAAATATACCATAAGACACATTTCCATGACCCTTGTAGTAGGAAAAAGGAATCAATTTAAACTAATTTGGGATCAAGCTATATTTTAACGGATTAAAAATTTCAAATGAAACCTGCTAATTACATACAGAGCAAAGAGGCACCAGGACACCTGATTAGTGTAACAAATGATGTCTTTCCAAAACTTAATAATGAGAGCTTTGTCTCCAGTAACATAAAACATGATTTATTAAGCACCTTATCCTCCATGCTAAGCTTTCTGAGAGCAAATGAGCAGAGCTTACCAAGCAATATATATTATAAAAGCATCCACATGTGAAGATTTGTTGCTATCTGACTTTTCAAAAAATATTTCCTTTGAGATATTCTGAAGAAATTTTTAATTAAGTGTATAATAAAACTTGTTAATTTTAAGTCAAAGCAGATTGCACTTTTAAAGTGATATTTTAAAAGTTCTCACATTATGAAGCTCTCCATTCTTTCCAGTCAATTAAATTTGCTGATAAAGTATTTAGTCTTCCAAAATAAAATATATGTTATTTACTTTGAATGTCTGAAGACAGTAAATTTTTAACTTCAGTTTTTACTGATATTTAAAGAAACAACAGACCTTGTAAAATAATTTTAAATTGATAAGGTGTTTAGTATTGTTACAAGAGGCAATGTTGGACACTAATCTACCATTTGCTATCCTCAGTATTTTAAAACTACCATGAAGTGCCAGCAATGAGTAAACTGTAATTATAAAAATTACTTACTAATATTGGTATTTATAGAAAATTTCAATTAAACATTATATCACACATAAAATGAACAGTTTGTAGAGGAAAGATTACCATAGCATGTTTTATATTTCTCCTGCCTGTGAAAAAAAGCAAGTAGGCAGGATATATTTTAGTCATTCCAGTTAACAAATATTAGATTGAAGTTTTTTCTAAAATATTTTATAGCATTTAAGAATCTTTTCTAAAATTCCGTGATAGTAATTTTACAATATTATTTAATCTCAGTTAATTTTGTGCCAATTTTTATAGTCTTTACTTCCCTTAGGTGAGAGTTTCGTAGTAGATAGTTCCTTTAAATCACTCACAACGACAACAAAAAAAAGATTCAGCATGATTTGCATGTCATTTTTACTTTCCCATCTATATATGCTTATTTCTCTTTTTTTCCCTTTTTTACCCATAGCATAGCTATAGCTAAAGGCCCCCCTTTTAGACTATTTCCCTTGTATGTATATCTTCAAGCAAGGTTGAAATTTATAAAGATTTGAAAAAGATCCAACTCTACTCAAACCGTGAATGTTTAATTTTAACATTTCAACTTAAATATATGCATATAACTTTGTTACCTAAGGCAAAAAGAAAAAAAAAAAAAAACACTTCATTGCATCAATGAAAGGAAACAGGCTATAGAGGAGAGTTATAGAAACTGACTTCATATAAACATGACCACCTACCAAGTAGCTACTTTACCATTAGGAAAACTTAGACTTTGTAATAACAGATGAACAAACAAGGGAACCACATACCTAAGTTGACAAAGCTCATGACCATGTCGGCATCATTCAGAAAGTTGGTATCATGTAGGCTGGCCAGAGGAGGACTCTGGGTGGTCAGAGGAGTCGTTCGAGATAACTGAATACGACGAGGATAGCCATTGGGAGAGGCTGGGTATCCCTTTCTTGCCCCTCTGGTCTCTCCAGCCAAGGATGCCCTGACTGAGTATTCTGACTCTTCAGGATTTTCTTCATTGGCCATGGCATTGTACAGGTCCAGCATAAAGAGAGGCGCAGAAGACGCTTGTTTTCCAGGTGAGAATGGTCTGGGTCTGTGAGGCAAACCCAAGATAGACAGAATTTCCCTCTGTATTTCCCGTCTTTCATGGTTCCGTAGTCGTCTATAAATAAAACTGGAGTGAACATGATTGTCTCCCAAACCTCCTTTTGCATAACCCACGAGAACCCAGCAGCTCCAGATGAAACCCACAATACCCCTAAGTAAAAACACAGTCAGATGCATTTTTGTCCAAAAGCAAAAGTTGATATTTTTAGTCCTTCTTGTCCTCTTTAAAAAAAAAAAAAAAAAAAAAAAAAAAAAAAAAACAAAAACTCAC